TCATCCATGCATTGTTCACAGAGAGTCCAAACTTATGGTTAACCCTAATTATCCAATTATAGTGGCCACAGCCAACTCACTGTGTAACTACAGACTAAGCTCTCTGAGCAATGTTCAAGTTGTGGTTATTGATGAAGCAGATCTGTTACTGACTAGTGGAGGAAATAATCTATGGGAAATCCTAAGCTATTTTAAGGGTGTTGACAGCTTGAAGGCCAAGAAGAAAAAGAGGCACTTGGCAAGGCAACAAAAGGCTTCCAGACAATGTAGTGCTGTTGATGGTGATAAAGTTACAAGTGATGCACCTAGACGAACAGAAATTATATTCACTTCTGATGCTAAAAGTGAGTGTTGTCAACCTGAGATGACCTCCACACCACCTCCAAAAAGGCAATTTGTTTTTGTCGCAGCCACATTGCCCCATCATGGCCCAAAATCTGCTTTCAGTGTGCTGAAAGACTGGGTTCCAGAAGCAGAATTTGTGTCCACTGATTTAGTCCACCAAATTTTGCCCACGGTGGATATATTTTATGTGCATGTACAAGAAGCTGAAAAATTGCCTGCGTTATTACGTTGCCTTAACAGCCTTGCAGGACTGATTAAATACCCATTCGCTGAAAGGAAGAGTAATGAGAAAATGGATTTCAGATTTGAGGAAAGTGTTGATTTTAGTTCTGATATTTCTTTTGGCAAAGATAAAACTGAGAAAATGTATCTATCAAACAAAAAGACTGAAATCTTGGATGCTCACAAATCAAAGTTTAAGGATCCAGCCTTGGAAGAGAGTGACTTTGCAACAACATTCTTTGGAAATGTAAGTTGGGAAAATCTCAGGGTATTAGTATTTGTAAACTCTGCAAGAGCAGCTGAGCAAGCCTTTAACTTTCTAAGTGATCCTGGAGAAGTGGAGGAAAGCAACTCAATTTCTTGGAAACATGGAACTAAAAGTGATGAAAGTTCAACTACATGGCAAGCTGAATTAGACAATGGTGATGGCACTCCCAGCAAAAAAGATGCCCCAAGTTATTTTGTGACACACACTGGTAGCAAGGACATCTGGATTGGACGAGTTGGAATGATTCACAAAAAGCTTCCTCTTTCTCAGAGAATAGAAACACTAAACAAGTTTAAATCTGCTGAGCTGAAAGTTTTAATATGCACTGACCTGGCATCTAGAGGATTGGATATTCAGGATGTAAGTCATGTGATTCAGTTGGACTTTGCTCCCAATGCTGCGCACGTACTTCATCGGACAGGACGGACAGCAAGGGCAGGTGCATCAGGAAGAGGTAACAATCCATGTTAACCCTTTATAAAGCCCCAATAATTATCTGCCTACAAATTCTCCAGACTAACCTCCATTCATTTCCTTTACACTTTACAAAAGTAAGTCCCAAGAGTGACCTAAATTAATTTTCTCCAAACAACATCAGTACATCACCAATGGTTAAAGGTTATGAGAACTGGTTAAATGGTCACCAAAGGGAAAATGCTTTGATCTTTTATCAAATTCTCCCAACTGATTCTTTAAGAAAATATGTGGAGATCAGTCAGGAGAATTTGAATGTGGATAATGGGACTCAAAGGGTTAAAAAAACTCTTTGAGAGAATTTGATAAAATATCAAAGCATTTTCCCTTTGGTGATCATTTCATTAATTCTCATAATCT